AAAAAAACTTTGGACAACTGCCTCAAAACTGGTAAAAATATTTTAAAAAGCATGCTTAATGTATAGGATCTTGGTGGTTGAGGACAGATGTGGGAACCAGACTGAACACAGTCCCCATTTCTGAACCATGTGCAAACATTACTTATTCAATTTTTTACAACCAAACATGAAAATAAATAAATGCAACTTAAACCATATCATGTCATTCCTTTGCCCCAAACCAGTGCCTTCTGATCTCACTAAAAGTGAAAAGCAAAGTGCCCTCCTCACCTACAACATACCTGCTAGCCCACTCTGGCTTCACTGCTGATTCCTGAACGTGGCAAGCAAATTCTGACCTCAGATCCTTGGCACTAGCTATTCCCTCCACCTGGAGCACTCTTCCTTCCAGACATCAGCTTTGCTCCCTCCATCCTTACTTCCTTCAAATATCTGCTACAGTCACACAAAATAGCACCCTCATTCCCCATTCTGCTTTTCTACATAGCATCACTCTTTGTAATGTATTAAATATATTTATTTACTGTCTCTCTCACTCTAAAAATAGAAGTTTTACTGAGATATGGGCTGTTTTGTTCTCTAACACATTCCCTGTACCTAAAACAATGCCTGGCACATAGTAGTTGCTCAATAAGCATTCCCTGAATTAATATGATTATGGGGATTGAAGAAGCATATGAGGAAGGTACTATTATTCTCCTTTTACATATAAGGAAACTGAAGCAGAAAAGCTGAGAACCAAAGCCAAGATTTAAGTATCTAGTACATGAGTGTTCATTGACCTTTCCAACTTCTGTGGGGCAGAGAGCGGTCTCTGGAGGATACCCAATAAATAATTACAGCATTTGCCTGTTTCGGTGGGAAAGACGGAAAATACGGGGGAGAGGAGTTTTCATGCCTTCTTACATCTTTTCAAAACCTTGTGAATATGTTATCTATTTACAAAGTAAATTAGTATTCTAAATAAAATATCAATAACCCAGATGTCTTACAACAGATAATGGTTAAAAAGAGTTTGGTACGTACCACGGTATACTACTCACCAAGAAAAAGAAATGAACTACTGATACATGCAGTGACTTGGATGAATCTCCAGAGAATATGTGAGTGAAAAAAGCCAATCCCAAAAGATTACATACTGTATGATTTATTTTATTTATTTATTTTTTTGAGATGGAGTCTTGCTCTGTCACCCAGGCTGGTGTGATCTCAGCTCACTGCTGCAACCTCTGCCTCCCAGATTTCAAGCGGTTCTCCTGCCTCAGCCTCCTGAGTAGCTGGGATTACAGGTGCGCACCACCACACCAGGCTACTTTTTGTATTTTTTTAGTAGAAACAAAGTTTCACCATGTTGGTTAGGCTGGACTCAAACTCCTGACCTCATGATCCACCCACCTCGGCCTCCCAAAGTACTGGGATTACAGGTGTGAGCCACTGTGCCTGGCCTGTATGATATCTTTTATGTCAGGGGTCCCCAACCCCTAGGTCATGCACGGTACCAGTGCAGGGCCTGTTAGGAACCGGGCCACACAACAGGAGGTGAGCAGGGAGTGAGTAAGCATGACCACCTGAGCTCTGCCTCCTGTCAGATCAGTGCTGGCACGAGATTCTCACAGGAGCTCGAGAATCGAATTGTGAACTGCACACGTGAGGGATCTAGGTTGCACGCTCTTTCTGAGAATCCAATGGCTGATGATCTGAGGGGGAACAGCTTCATCCCCAAACCACCCCAACTTCATCTGTGGAAAAACGGTCATCCACAAAACCGGTCCCTGATGCCAAAAAGATTGGGGACCACTGATTTATGTAACAATCTTGAAATGACACAATTATAGAAATGGAGACCAGATTAGTGGTTACCAAGGGTTAAGGTGGGGGTGAAGATGGGAAGGAAGTGGGCAGCTATAAAAGAGTAACATGAGGGATCTTTGTGGCGATGGAAATGTTCTGTGTCTTGACTGAATCAACACAAATACAGTGGTTATGATGTACTACAGTTCTGAAGATGGTACCACTGCGACAAACAGGTAAGGGATCTCTCTGTGTTACTTCTTAAAACTGCATGTGACTCAACAACTGTCTCAAAATAAAAGCTTAACAAAAAAACATATGAAAATATAAGTTAAGAACATCTAGCCAGTACTTTTTGTTGTTGCTGTTTGTTTTGGTTTTTGGTTTTCTTCTACCATCTAGCCAGTACTGTTAATCAGTATATTATCTGGTTCCCTAGACAATGAAGAGTCTGCCATGTGAAGATCTGGAGAAAGATTTGAGATAAGACAGTTTCAGGTAGGGAAACAAGCCATTGAGAAAGTTTAATAGGAGAACAAAACTATCATGTTGAAAAAACAGAAAGTAGACCAGTGTCGCCGGAGTATAGTGAGAGACAAGCAGATGATAAAGATGAGATGAAAAGGATAGGCGTGGGCCAGGTAATCTAAATCTTTACAGACCACTGTAAGGCATATGAATCTTATGTTTAAGTGGTATATGGGCAGAATCCAATAATTATTAGTTTTTGTTTTGGTTTTTTTTTCTCGGTAAGCCTGAAGACAAGAATCCTATGTACCCAAGGAGATAATAAAAAGCCCAAGGAGACCGGGCACGGTGGCTCACGTCTGTAATCCCAGCACTTTGGGAGGCTGAGGCAGGTGGATCACAAGGTCAGGAGATTGAGACCATCCTGGCTAACACGGTGAAACCCTGTTTCTACCAAAAATACAAAAAATTAGTGGGCATGGTAGCACATGCCGGTAGTCCCAGCTACTCGGAAGGCTGAGGCAGGAGAATCGCTTGAACCTGGGAGGCAGGGGTTGCAGTGAGCCAAGATCGTGCCATTGCACTCCAGCCTGGGTGAAAGAGAGACGTTCTGTCTCAAAAACAAACAAACAAATAAAAAAAACCCAAGGAAACAGCAATACCAAAGAACATAAAATGAATTATGTAGTACTTGAGATAAGAAGTCATTAAAATTCAACTTGTACATTGTAACAAGCAAAAGGCAGAAAGTCAAATTCTGGTCCTGACTAAATTCAGTCAGTCCTGTATTTCTTGGGTTAAGAAAAAAATTCTAGGCCGGGTATGGTGGCTCACACCTGTAATCCCAGCACTTTGGGAGACCAAGGCCAGCAGAGCACTTGAGGTTAGGAGTTCAAGACCAGCCTGGTCAACATGGTGATACCCTGTCTCCACTAAAAATATAAAAATTAACCGGGCATAGTGGCACACACCTATAATCCCAGCTACTGGGGAGGCTGAGGCAGGAGAATCGCTTGTACCTGGGAGTCGGAGGTTGCAGAGAGCCAAGATCGTACCATTGCACTTTGCACTCCTGCCTGGGAGACAGAGCGAGACTCCGTCTCAAAAAACAAAAAACAAAAAAAAAGAAAAGAAAAGAAAAGAAAAAAACTGTAAAGGGTTAAGGTTTCACAGATACTAAGAATACATTGTAATGATCTGAAAATAAACTACCCAAAAGTCTGTGCTATAATTTAAATGGTATTATAATTCACATTTGGCATTTTTATCCACTTGCCTCTTTTTTGTCTTTGAACTTATCAATTTCTTTCTTCAGAAGCTCCACTCTTTGAAAGGATTCAAGGTTATTCACACTGTACACAAGAACAAAGCCATCAGCAAATGAAAAATAATGCTTTGGCAGCTCCACGCCTTCCTGTAGACCTCTGGTGTCATAAAGATGTAACTGTTCTTTCACTCCTCGGTCTGTTTCCACTGAAGCCATGTACACATCTTCCATTGTTTCGCAATCTTCCATTCCTGGGATTAAGAAAAGAAATTACTCTTTTTGGCTAAGCCAGTGAACCACTCAGTATTTTCTTGTCCCTTAGAAATTGGCTTTCTAGGTTTCCTATTTACCACATATAATAATCACATTTCTATTTTACTTTTTTTTGAAACAGGGTCCTGTTCTGTTGCCCAGGCTGAAGTGCAGTGGCTCAATCTCAGCTCACTGCAACCTCTGCCTCCTGGGCTCAAGGGATCCTCCCACCTCAGCCTCCCAAGTAGTCCCTCCCAGCTGGGACTACAGGTGCCATCATGCCCAGCTACTTTTTGTAGAGACGGGCTTTCACCATGTGGCCCAGGCTGGTCTCAAACTCCTGGGCTCAAGTAATCTACCCACTTTGGCCTCTAAAAGTGCTGGGATTACAGGTGTGAGGCACTGCACCTGGCATAAACAAAATTCTTTAAAAAAAAACTTCTTCTGCATAAAAACAAAAATCCCCTTCTTGTTTATGATATTTTTAAAATGCATTTTACCACTTTGTTTCATTTGTGCAAGTTTTATCTCTTCAACTAGTCTCTAAGTTTACTGAGTGAAAGGAACCATTCTGTATACACAGCAAATATTCAATAAGCCCTTGTTGATAAAGGAATTAAAGGGAGAAGATTAGCACTCTGAATTTTAATAAGAGTAGTGGAGAGACATGTGATAAGACAGGTAAGGTATAGTCCCAGTAATTACCTCCATATTTAAATATGAGGCCAGGTGCGGTGGCTCACGCCTATAATCCCAGCACTTTGGGAGGCTGAGGTGGGCAGATCACCTGAGGTCAGGAGTTCAAGACCAGTCTGGCCAACATGGTCAAACCCCGTCCCTACTAAAAATACAAAAATTCACTGGGTGTGGTGGCGGGCGCCTGTAATTCCAGCTACTCAGGAGGCTGAGGCAGGGAGAACTGCTTGAACCTGGGAGGCAGAGGTTGCAGTGAGCCGAGATCATGCCACTGTACTCCAGCCTGGGCGACAGAGCGAGACTCCATCTTAAAAACTAATTTAAAAAAATAAAAATAAATAAATGTGAGATACATTCAGAGGTAAAATCACATGGGTAACATCCTATACCCCCCCAAGTCATACTGTTATAGTTTTTTTTTAAACTCTAGTTACAGTTTTCCTAAACAACCTATATACTGTAGAATGATTTGTTCCAGATGCCTTACATGAAATGTCCGTAAGTATTAGATTACATAAAATCTCCATAAGTATTAGATTAAAAGGAATAATCACATGGTAATACATAGATTGCATCATGAGAAACCAAAAATTTACTTTCATCAACATAACTCATAAAGAATGTATTCAGTGTTTAGAAAGGTAAAATTATTCATAAATTTGATTATGTATATACATGTCTGCGTCATCCTGTCATAAATTAAGCCCTAAGGAAATTAAAGGTTATCTATTAAGACACAAACATACTGGGCTTTGATTACAAATTAATTTAAAAGCAAAAACTACCAAGTGTTTTGTCAGGTGACGTTTTATCCACCAAAAGCCAGTCCTGTTAGCCCACCCCTACCTGCCTCTCCAAAAGGGGGTCTACAGCTTAGACCTTTTGATATTTTGGTACTCTAAACATCAGATGAAGTCAAGAGTCTTCCACTAGTTCTCTAGATCTCCTCTCCCACTCCATGCTGCTGGGCAACAACCCATCTCACACGCCAGGGCAAGGCTTCAGGGTGCAATCTCTGGGGAGCGTAAAACAGAGGCTGTCTGGCCTGTGGGATAAAGGGAATGAGTTCCACCATGAAAACGGAGCAATTAAGTGACATGCCTGCACACACACATACTGAATGTTGAAGTCCTCCAGCTCTCCCTTTCTGCTCCCAAAACACTGGCAGCCAGGACTTTATCCCCATCCAGAGGAATCTGGAGAATCTGGCCAATGGAAAAGGAGAAACTCCTAAATATACTGACATCTAGACTTCCCCAACAAATGCCCCTGCCAGATCACTTTAGTGAAGCTCAAAGTCATGAACCCTATCCATATGCCTAGAGCTTCCAATTGTTTTTTTTGTTGTTGTTTGTTTGTTTGTTTGTTTTGAGATGGAGTCTTGCTCTGTCACCCAGGCTGGAGTGCAGTGGCTGGATCTCGGCTCACTGCAAGCTCCACCTCCCAGGTTTATGCCATTCTCCTGCCTCAGCCTCCCGAGTAGCTGGGACTACAGGCGCCCGCCACCTCGCCTAGCTAGTTTTTTTGTATTTTTTAGTAGAGACGGGGTTTCACCGTGTTAGCCAGGATGGTGTCGATCTCCTGACCTCATGATCTGCCTGTCTCAGCCTCCCAAAGTGCTGGGATTACAGGCTTGAGCCACCGCGCCCCACCCCAATTGGCTTTTTAAGTCTTATTTATTTATATATTTTTGAGACAGAGTCTCACTTTGTCATCTAGACTGGAGTTCATTGGGACAATCTCAGCTCACTGCAGCCTCGATCTCCTGGGCTCAAGCAATCCTCCCACCTCGGTCCTTCAAGTGGCTGGGACAATAGGTGCACACCACCAAGCCCCACTAATTCTTGTATTTTTTTGTACAGATGGGGTTTTACCATGTTGCCCAGGCTGGTCTCGAACTCCTGAGCTCAAGTTATCTGCCTGCCTCTGCCTCCCAAAGTGCTAGGATTACAGGCGTGAGCCAATGCACTGGGCCTAGGTGTCCATTTTTAATTATGAACAGATAACCAAGGTTTAGTAGACACCTGAAGAAAACAGAGACTAACAAGAAGAGACCACTACAGAGGAAACCAACTATACAAAGAAAAGAAAAACAAAACAAACAAACAAAAAACTACCTAATCTATCAAAAAAACAAGATAATACATCCATGAAATAAGAACAGGATACTGAAAAACAAAAACTCAATAGAAGGGCTGGAAAATAAAGATGAGGATATCTCCCAAAAAGCGGTACAAAAATATTGAGAGATGATAAACAGGAAAGGAGAAATAAGAAAATTCAAAGACTAGTCCAGAAGGTCCAGCATCCAAAAAGAAAGTTCCAGAAAAAAAGAACAGAGAACACAGAGGAAAGAAAGCAACAACAAAATAATTCAAAACTGAAGAACATGCATTTCCATCTAGAAGGGACCCTCTAACTGTCCACTACAGTAAGTGAAAACAGACTGGCCAGGCGCGAGGGCTCACACCTGTAATCCCAGCACTTTGGGAGGCCGAGGCGGGCAGATCACCTGAGGTCAGGAGTTTGAGACCAGCCTGGCTAACATGGTGAAACCCTGTCTCTACTATAAATACAAAAATTAGCCAGGCATGGTGGCGCGTGCCTGTAATCACAGCCACTCGGGAGGCTGAGGGGGGAGAATTGCCTGAACTCAGGAGGTGGAGGCTGCAGTGAGCTGAGATCGTGCCACTGCACTCCAACCTGGGCAACAGAGCAAGATTCCATTTAAAAAAAAAGAAAGAAAAAGAAAAGATCAATTCTATGACGCATCACTGAAATTTCAGAACACTGGTGTCTTAGTCCATTTGTGCTTCTATAACAAAATACCACAGACTGGGTAATTCATAAACAGAAAATTTATCTCTCACAGTTCTGGAGGCTGGGAAATCCAAGATCAAGGTGCCAACAGGTTTGGTGTCTTGTTACAGCCCAGTCTCCACTGCAAGATGGAGCCTTGTTGCTGCATCCTTGGGAGCGGTCAAATGTTGTGTCCTCACATGGTGGGAGAGACAGAAGGGCAAGAGAGCACTCCCTTCAACCTCAACCCTTTTATAAGGATGCTAATCTTTCATGACGGATTAGTCCTCATGAAGGTGAAGGGTGGAGCCCTCATGACTTAATCATCTCTTATAGGCCACACTGCTTAATACTGTTGCATTGGAGATTAAGTTTCAACATCAATTTTGGAGGAGATCCTATCCTTCAAACTACAGCGACTGGGAACAAAGAAGAGAGCCTAGAAAAGCTTCCACAGACAAAGCATCAAGAATCGTAATGGTTCCCAGATTCTCAAAAGTAGCACTAGAAGCAAGAAGACAATAGAAGCTGGTAAAGTTAAAGAGACACACCTTCTATGAATCAGCAATTTCATTCCTAGATATGTATACCAGAATTTATCACGTAATAGCCAGGATACATGTACAATAATATTCCAGAGTAGCATTATTTCCAATAGCTCCGAACTGGAAATAACCCAAATGTTCATCAAGACAGAAGACAGGTAGTTTCATGCAATAAAATGTTACATCAATGAAAAGTAAAGAACCACAGCTATGGCAAAAAAGGATGAATCTTTTATTTATTTTTTTCTAAATAGAGATGGGGTCTCCTGATGTTGCCCAGGCTGATATCAGACTCTTGGGATCAAGTGATCTTCCCATCTCGGCCTCCCAAAGTGTTGGGATTCCAGTGGTGAGCCACCGTGCCTGGCCTGATGTGTCTTACAAATACAATGTTGAATAAAAGAAGCCAAACATGGATTAATTCATATAAAATCCATAGGGCAAAAATAAACTATACCATTTAGTGATACACACATATGTGGCAATTAAAAATAAAAAGAATGATTAACTAAAAGTCAAGGGAAGGAATGAGTTGCAACTGGACAGAGGAACACAAGAGAGCCACTGGCCTGTCCTCAATGTTGTACTTTTTGATCCATGTGGAGAGTTTGTGAAGGTTTGTCTTATAATTATTGATTAAATCATATATGCAATGCTCTCAAAATTCTGAAAGGATATTATTTTTGACCTAGAGTTCTATACCCATCAAAATTACAATTCAAATATTAGTGCAAAATAAAGACAGTTTCAAACATACAAAGCCTCAAAAAATGTATCACGTATATTTTCTCAGAAAACTATTTGAGGAGACCCTCCATAACAGTTAACATGTAATCATAGAAACAGAAAGAAACAGAACCTAACACAGATATGAAGCAAAGGAAATCACAAGCACAATTAGTAAATATCTCCATTTGGAAGCCCCAGCTTCACAACTAGGTGCCAGGCAGAGGGCAGGT